GGTCATAATGTTATTGGCTGATCGTAAAGATAACAGATAACTTTTAAAAATAAGTTGATAACCTGCAATTTTTACACACCCGATGGTCATAAAGACTAAGATGTAGTGAGAAAAGATGAATAATTTAATATTAATTAGGTCTGTTTCAACCAAATCTAACTGACTGTCACTATTGTTGACACATCAAACAACAGTTCTGACTCTTCAAATGTGCATTAATTTTTTCTAATAAAGTTCATCAAAAAACTTCCCAACCATACTTTTGAACATAAAGTCTATCAATTGTTTTGCATAAAAATTCAAATAAATTATGGACCGATAATTTCTTGGCTGTAATTTAATTATCCAGATAATTCGTAATAATATAAATTTATCGGCAGATAATACTTTTGCCCTGATAACTATCGTGCATCCCCAGGACTCAGTATAGATGTGGTTTTACAGCCATGTTAGCGGCTCTATGAGGCTGAACTTTGGCACAGTGGTTCTTTGAGCTAAATGCTGATGTTAGCATGCTAAAATTTGCAAATTTCCACTAAACACAAATTACAGGTGATGAGGAAGTCATTAGATCTGCAGGTTTATTATTGGACTAATTAAAACTTTTACCTAATGATGGCACCAGATGAAAAGTCAAGAGATCACCAAAGTAATTCCAATTCTTCCTGAAGGGGGCGTAATTGTGTATAAATGGTTTCCTCCAATAGTTGAGATATTTCAATAAAAACCACAAATGTGGACCTCATGGTGGTGCTAGAGTCAGAAGGAGTCGAATTGTTCTGGCAGCATGAATAAAAAACTCTCTATTATCTCTAATCTTGACCAACCATAACAATAAAACATTAAGACTGTCTAAATTATTGTCATCTGCCTCAAAACTTAATGAATTTCTAAACAGATAATAGATTAAAACTGGCATGTAGAGCTTGAATGAAGAGGACTTAATGTGCTTTTTTAAATATTTATCAATACAAAAATCACCCTTTAAAGTGAAAACAGATCTCTACAAAGCAATCTAAATTAACTACAAATATAAAATTCAAATCAAAATACTTCATACTCGTAAGTATTCACCTCCTTTAACAGGGCAAACCTAAATCATCACCACTGCAACCAGTTGGTTTGTACAAGTCATATAAATAATTAAATCTCCTGTTTGTAGGAGCTGTGTATATTTATTCATAAACAATTACAAAACACTTGAATTAAGTCAACTAAAAATACAGAATATTGCACTGGGAGTCTGGTATTTCCTGAAAAGTTGTGAACAATGGTTCCTTAAAGTTGCAGATTGCACATTTTAGTGTACGTCAAATTTTTCTTAACAGATCCAGGTGCCACTTTACTTTAGCTCCTCATTTAGTTTAGTTTTTCTTTAGTTTCCTTTTTAACGTTTACGAAATGGTTTATTACATATTATAATGTAGTTATAAACACATAAAAGGACATTTTTAGTCTCTAGATAGGGCCGTTTGTCGTACGTTTCTCCTTCGCACTTAGAAGGGGAGGGTGAAGTGAGGGAGACTACGCCGCTCGGTGCCACTACATCGTACACACTGGGTCCTTTAATGTAGCAGCAGGTAAAGGATATTTATACTTCCATAGTAAAACTATGTTTATTATTACCATATTTAAGTGTGGTATAAGCAACATATTGCTTATAAATACTGTATACGGGGGGATGGAGTTACAAATCCTTCCTCACAAATCTTATAATAATAGAATGTCATATAGTGATACAACACCACAGACTTCCACATAAGAGCCCCATTAGATCAGAAGTAAGAGAAACAGTTTGTGGCTGATCCACAAGGATATAACTGTAAACTGTGTCCCCTCCCTCATAGAGAGAGTATTTATTTTGTCTTTTCTCTCTCTGTTGATTTGTTTCTCTCGACAGCGGCTGTGCTCATCCCTCCACCTTCTCTTCTCTTCTCTTCTCTTCTCTTCTCTTCTCTTCCCTTCGCGCCGTCCTCCCTTCCTCCCTCCCTCTCTCCCTCCCTCTTCCCCCCAGCTGTCCTGTGGGATGTGATGATGCTCTGACAGGCTTGGCGTCTGTTCTTGGAGGTGCTGGTATTTTTGTGGCACAGCGGCGGGGGCTGGTACAGGAATAGTGCCGGAGTTGTAGTGTATAGTGTGGGAGTGGAGATCTGGGGAGGGCTGGGATGGTTTGAGAACTGTGAGATTTTAAGGCATTGTATAGACAGGAGGGAGACCAGGGAGGATTGCGTAAGTTGGCTCCCTGGCTACAAATTTAGCCTGGACTCGCTCACGCATAAATTTGATGAGCAGTGCTATCTCAGTCGTCAGAGCTGGGGTATTTAAAGATGTGAGTGTGTGTTGGCATGGGACGTAGGGTGTATTTATCGTGCGTGTTTATTTACAAGTCGTGAAGACTGATGGTGGCTAATTTGAGATGCAAAAAGCAGCATTTGCATCTACAGTATAACACCTCTCCCCTTCACTCTGCTCTCTGTTCCTCATCCTGTTGTTGCTATTTGTTTTATTAATGGCAGTTTGTTGTAGATGGTGTTGACCAGGCTTGTCATAGTCTCCGACTATGCCACAGAAATACTACACTGAT